TATAGGTAAATTAAATAAGTTCTCTTTAAATTTTGATTTATTGATTCGGCTTGATTTACATGATAATAAAAGTGAAAGATTTAGATCGATCATTTAAATTCCCAGTCTTTTCATGACAGAACAAAGTAAGTTTGAAATACATAAATATCACATTGCTTTGTCAGGTAACAGGTATGTGTATATGTAGTGGAGCTTGGAGTCCATTTAGAAAATTGGAGCCACAAATCTGGGCTGCAAGCAATCAATGTCACTGTTAAGTCAGGCCTAGAGGGGCCTGCCAGTTGAAGTGGGGTCGCAGCTGTGGGAACGAATGGATTAGTTAGTTTCACGTGATTTTCGTTGAGTTTGGCAAATAGGATTGGATATATTCGATTTGGGGGTGAAGTACAAGTAGTCACGAGGTTCATTATTTACACTTCAGAACACGACGTGTTTCTTGATCGCTTGATAAATTAATTTAAAAATTATTCAATATTTGGGAATTTCGTTTAGATCACACTCCCTCTAGATTTACCCGTATATTATTGTACCCTATCGCCTTGCCGGCTCCAGTAATTCAAATTCAAGGATACCAACTTATGACTTCTGAATACTTAAACTTCCGTTATCACGAGTGACTCACTGTGTTTTTCCCTGTAACTCCGCCCAGCGAGACCGAATCAGATTTCTACCAGCTGAGTTACCAATTCCATACAATTCCATAATTACCACAACTAACGGATGTATATACTCGCCTGCAGATCACAGTGGCCGGCCGCGCGTTCTGAGACATGAACCGTCTTCGCCCGCTCGGAAACTGGGATTTCGAATCCCACTCGAGGCATGGATATCTGTGTGTAGGTAGCGGTTATGCGACGGGCTGATCCCCCGTCCAAAGAGTCCTACCGACTGTCTATGTATTAAGAAACTGAAAGAGCGACAAAGGTCCACAAGGGCTCTAGAGCCATATATAGATAGCTTTGTCCGCCCACATTACACATCCCCTAACTCAGTTACGATGAGTTGGACAAGACTGATCGGTTACAGTAATATACGTATTAGCGCAACAGAGAAAGAAATGAAAAGTGGGGCTCATACAGAAGGCTTGTTGCCTAGCAACGATAGAGAGCTGCACACAGACATCAAGGCGATCTCAGAAGCCTCAAAAGTGAGATGGGACACACAAACACACAGACAAATATAAAGCGATCTCATATTAGACACAAAAAGTTCTGGGATGAACTAATCAGTTTCATTTAATAAGACAGACTGCATAGAAAACTAAAAAGAATAGGGGGAAACACACACACAGACAGCAAGGTGATTTCATAGGATTCCTAACAAAAAAGAGGAGATACACAGACAGAAGGAAAGACAGAGGGATACACAAACAGACAACAAGATGATCTTATAAGCCTCCATTTATTTTTCCAAATAAAGAACACAGGCTAGAAATAAAAGCTATTAAAATGTTCACATTTAAATAAGAACACAAATTTCCCATATTTTATATACAGTATGTCCCAGGAGGAAAGGTCGGGAAATCATAGTATCGATCCTTCTAAACAGAAAAGTGTATACATGTCCTATTCCAAATGGTTTCCGAGAAAGAGATACTCGTATTTCAGTGTGCAGTTCAAAAATTGTTAAGAAAGAGATATTACGTACTGTACTTGACTAAGCTTTGTATCATAACTTTGTCTTGCATTTGGGTGATAAGTTAGTAACTTTTAGTTTTCCGCGTTTATTTGTAAACCAAGGTCTTGACTAACATCTCCTAGAAGCAATAATCATGCTCTTGGTAAATAATTTTGCTGAATCATGTGTAGTAAATTTAAATTAACCATCTACTTGCATCCACCGCTGGGAACAAGAATGTGGGAAAGGATACATCCAATTCCCCCCCCCCCCCTCCATTCATCTTCAGCTTGTGTTGATGTGCTTAAGCACTGGGACAACTTTATATTAATTCTGTTCAATCAAACCTGTTGTTCCCTTTTCTGAAAATAATAAGTTAAATACATTAAAGGTGTGCTTTCATCAAGATATTACAACCTATCACCAGTCCTGTGGTCAAATTTAGGTAAAAAGGTAGAGTTGTCCCTGTGCTTAAGCACCAGGTCATGAAGGCATATGGCATAAGCACCATTTTTGGCCTCAGCACTAGATGGAGCTGAGTGGCCAGCCTCACCCACTGGCAACTTCACCACTAGAGAAAGGGCCCCCTGCAACCATTGGATAAGAGGCAAGGTAGGCCCTGAAGCTGGTCTCAACGCTACGGAGGAGGGAAAACCCTTGCCCCTGCCAGGAATAAACCCCAGGTGTGCAGCCCATAGCCTGTCACTATACTGACTGAGGCATTTCACATCTTCAGAGAAATTTGTGTACAGGCACTATCAGTTCTAGAGAAAGTACTGTATTTGTATCTACAGCATTTGCCCAAAACGGCTCTTCTGTGTACTGGTGATGGTATGCAGTGATAAGATGAACATGAAACAATAAAAAGTGATCGGATTAAATTAGCAGTCTTTGTTCAAAAATATTATTCATAAAAATGTTGATCTTATAGCTAAATCTCTCAACCCCCATAACAATTCAGTCTCGCTGCTTCTTAGAAATTAACAATTTATGTATTATATTCCCTTTTAACAGGTAAGAAGAAACACTTCAAACATATATGAAAAGATATTAAGGTAAGAGTTGACGCTGACAATACAGAATTTCATACTGGAGGATAGCATAGCATAAATGCAGAGCCATCTGCAGTCTCCTTATTTATTGACTGTTGCATACTAGCAAAGAACTGACCCAGCATACTGGCACACATTTAAAAAAAGGAAAGATGCACGGCGCCAATGCATTGTATATCTCAACCATTAGGCCAGAACCAAGTGTGAGATTACCAGCAAACACATCGATCAAACATTTGACCAAATTGACTCAGGAGAGTCGCAGAATATTCCAATTAAGATAATCAGCCAGTTCATTAAGAATCAGCATTAATATTTAGTTCCTTGCACGTTGAATTTAAATCTCAAATAATTGGAGTTTAATATCCCAGGCAGAGCTACAGAGGCTAGTAAAGTAAATTATAGTCTACCGATGCAGCTGAATAATACAGTGTTGCCACATTGTCATAATAGTCATGCACAACAGTGTACTCGCAATTTTATTTTGTGGAGTGTGAGGGGCTGTGGAAGCTAGTCATACAGTTTGATTTGTTTCATTCTGGTCCGTCACACTAACAATTACAAATATCAATCACTCCGTCCAATGTGACCTGTCAGTTTTTTAATACATGAAAACTTAACACCCTTACATGTTTCGGTCTCTGTGGACCATCTTCAGAAGGCAAACATCACTACAAATAGGAAACCACCATCACATAAGTTGTTTAGACATGAAGTACAGAGTCATACAATCATACAGAGTATGAAAATATGGTAAACTCTGCTATATACATATGCAGGATGAAAAGATACCAGGCTGAGCAGACAATCTGGAAGCCTGCATAGCATATTATACAAACTAGATCATCAAATCTAGGCATACAGTCCTACATGTGCATGAACAGGGCATTCCAAATGTGTGCAGGAAGGAGAGAGGACATTATTCCATGACTATCTGAACTCTACATGCTGTTAAACATGTTATTGCAAGATTTTGTTCCGGAGCTACAACCACATAAAATGTGTACATGGGTATTAAATATTCTGAATAATTCAAGGGATAACTATCAAGAAAATCCCCTCAAATCTGAAATGAATTGGAAACAAAACTTAATTCATATTATCAATTTAATGAAAGTCATCCTGTTGAAGTACAGTATATATTGTATACAAGTATATATATATATATATAGCACAACATGTCACACATATGTACAAAGTTCATATTCAGTATTCATGGGCTGCTCAGTTCTGCACCTGAAAAAAAAACAGATTCCACATTAACCACAAATAATACAAGATTCTTAATACCTACAACCATCACTGAGTGGCTGGTAAATTATGAGCATTAACTCCACAATCTCTGCCATACATATGTGATAAATTATGAATAAAAGGTAAACTGACACAGAACTATTTCAAGGAGCTAGAGTATGAACATGAAAAATGGGCCCAAAAATTATGGATCATGTCTTAAAAATAAAATGCAAATATTATGCAGTGTGTACTAGTGATCAGAAGCCATGTTCCTAAAAACTAAAGAGGAATATTAACTTGCTGTCAGGAATTTCACTGACAATATTTTGGGACTAAAAGGAAATAGTGGTACCCACAATTTGATCCTTAGACCTAATAACTGAAATTTATATGGCTGTAATTATTTTTAAACACTGTTGTGTGTCATGTTTTGAAAATCATCATAATGACCCCAACAAGAACTGTGATGAATATAGTACCACTCTGTCTTTCAGCATAATGAAATTATATGTAGTATTCAGTGCTCAAAAAGTATGAAGAATACCATAACTTTAATAATAAAAATAATTTAGAACACGAAAAACCACTCTTGCAAAAGAAAGCATAAAGGTGATAGCAATCAATAAAACACAGAACTTGTTTAACTGATGAGATTAAAGTTTCAGCTGTTCGAACTAATGGAGAGCAAACCCTTGTCCAAATCGGTGAAGTCAAAACAATAAAAGTCTTATTTTTAAACATCTTACATGTATGATTTTGTGTGTGTATGCATGCATGTACATGTGCATGCGTGTGAGGGGGAATTTTCAGCTTTGATTGAGCGTTAAAAGTAACCAGTTTCCCTAAACTCCAGTTCCTCATGGGACCTTGGTCTTCATAACTGTTGCATTTCCTCAGTAATATATCTCCTGTAGTTGGTAAAAGAATGGTGTTCATGTCTAATTTTAGGGCATGACTAGAATATACCTGGAAGTAGTTATTTTATTATTACCTTTTCTTCAAAAGAAAAAGATTCTCACATCCGTATGCTCTTTACTTTTGGCTTCTTGGAAAATTTTCTCTTCATGGATACTGCCTGAGACTGTCCTGCAGCTGGAATTTTGTGACGTTGGGTTACTGGCAGCTGGATCTTTTCAGGTCTTGGGCGAGTATCTGGAAGTAAGTATCATATTAGTATACAACCAATTTGACATAAAAAATTGAGAACACATCATGTTTAAGACTTAGCCTATAATTTATTTTATTCTCACAGCTATAGAAGAATCCTTATTAACTTCACACATTCATTTGCAACCACCAAAGAAGTTCCAGTGTGTGGTACAAAAATCAGACTTTATCTGATGAAACGTAACAATACATGCAGTAATTAATTAGTAATGCCATATTGAATGTGAACTCATGTAAATGTTGTCAACTTTAGGTTTCATATGAAAGACTAACAGTTGTATTATATTGTGGCATCCTGTTGCACATCACTTATTTATTCCTGTGAGTTAGCCATCTCACATGTAACTTGATTTTTAAAACTTTTAAAAGATTTATAATATTTAAAAGGTTTAAAAGTTCTATGGGTTTTATAAAGCAAGTTGCATGCGAGATGGCTAACTAACAGAAATAAATAACAGCTGTAATTTATACTGTGGAGACCTGAAATCACCAATTTAAACAATGACCTGTGCATAAAAAATGAAAACAACTTTGGAAACCAAACACACAAATTTCTCCTTAGAAATTTCTTCACAAATAAAAACGGCCACAAAACTTGCTGGAGACTCCTCTATAGCTACTTGTATCCCCTAAGGCTAAACCACTAAACAAAATATAAGTGAAGGAACTTTCGCCAGTCTAGTAACAAATTAAGCTTATCATACTCACTCTTCATAAGCTAACAATTCATGATGTGATGATATGAGATGGTGATGAGAGGCAGTAAATCCAATCTGTAATAACATCATATATATCATACAATGTCCCAGAAACAAACAAATGGACACATAGTTCCTGCAGCGTTATGAAACATTCTCTCAAACATCAGAATGTTATTTTAGTTTTCTACCAACAATGTTATACTGATGCACATCCAACATGCATATTTTAAGACAGTCTGCTTACAACTATTTTATATTTCACACATATCAGCGACAATAGACCTTAATTGCTCAGCATTAATGTAACAATGCACAAGAGAAGACACCCACAACTGCTTACGGACCTAGTCATCAAGTCCACAAATCAGGGCCAGAATGTAAAGTGAATGAATGAGTCTAATTAGTCAGTGGTTATAAAATGCATAATGCTTTCATAAAAATTTCACATCATTACAAAGACATTCTCAGATACCTCTACAAGTCTATACCAATTATCAGAACGTGATATGCATGAAAATTCAACATACTTTGAATGTTGACAGAAGACTAAAGTACATGTACGAAGCTTCATTCAGTGCTCTTTAGAATAAGATATTGTCACGTGTTATGGGAGTGTCACTATAGACAGGACTTAGCACGAAGGAAGCCTACTTACTAGTTATGGCAATCACAACATTTATTACTTTTCTGCAGACTGATAATATATTCTGAACAGTTCAAGTTTCACTGTTAGATGAAGTTGCATGATAGTAAAAACTAGAAGCAATGAGATGTAAATATTTTAATTCATGAATACTGAAAATTTTAGACCTAAACTCCAAAAATAATAAATGTCACAATCAAAATTTTAGGCACCATGGTAACATGGAGTGCAAAATCTGTTGACCACTGTAGAAGAGGTATCTGTCTGCCTGATAGAACAAGATGCACAGAATAGTGGAAGTAATCTCAGGAAGTATGTCCTTGATACATTATAGCATTATTTTTCTTGCAGGTTTATATTGTGCAAGAAAGAGACAACGCCATGAAATAGACCTGGCCTCTTTACACTGCTTCTTTCATGAATTTGCAGGTTGACCTTCTCTGAGACTTTACAGAAACCAACACACATTTTATTTCATAATCACATGCAATGTGCAGTGTGATCCCCATTTTATGTTGACTTCAGGTTTTCTTCAATTTAATGATCAAAACTGTTGTCTTACAATTCTATATGGAGATTTCACAACCTACCTAAGAATCTAACAATGACTCAGCTAGTCTAGAAATTCATTGCCTTTTCTAGAACCCAAAGGTTCATTGTCATGTTCACAAAGCTTGCCACAGGACAGTGTTATGTATGGTTAAATGAATATTATTACTATCCCAGAGCTACTGATAAATATCAAAGTATCATTATTAGAAGGCTTAATGTTTAAAACTTACTTGATACAGCTGAAACAGTTATCCTATGGACTCCACTGAAGGCTGCTAAAGGCTGAGAGTTATTCTGATATGTTCTCACTATAACACGTGGATTCCAAATTTCCTTTCTTTCCTGATGTATCTGCTGCCTGATTCTAGTACGCAGAGTCAAATCTGCATGGCACAAGCTCAGCCACTTTTTGCTGACCATAGCTGCAGACAGAAGGGTCTTGGAGTCCAACATTCTGCAAATAAAATTTTGAACACAAATTAATTACAGAAGACAACCAGACATGCTACTCTACACATAAAACACAATATACATACAACATTATCCCCGATAAATCTAGTGGGAGCAAGATTACTTTAAAGGGAATATGAAATAATTACTTGTGTAGTAGGAATGATCTGTCATTTAGCACAATTGCTACCACCAATCTATGAGCTTGAATCTGGTTACACAGTCTAAGACAACATGGAACCAGTTGAAGGCATAGCACACAGCTACTGCAAGTGATCACTTTCACTGTCAACAACTTGCAGTTTGAATAATAAATAACCTGTTTTCAATCCCTCTCGCCTTCCTGCCTACAATTACTGAGCAGAGGCCAAGCTAACAGATTGGTGGCACCAACTATAAATGAGCTTCTACAAGTAGTGCGTAGTTGGATGAATAATGGTGGAAGTACATGAATGAATGCCATGAACTTTTACTACTGTTAGGATTTAGGGATGTGGACATTCTACACTTATTAATCCATAATCTATGTAAACATAACACTCAATACAAGGGTATCTAAAATATAAACTGTAAAATGTAAAATGGAACCACATTTCTTTGCTTCATTTCCAGTGATTCAAACTGCATTCTAATACATCTGGAAGTTGAAATCAGTCTTCTGGAATACATATATCTGATTGTACATGAGGATTCAGTGAATATGTTAACAGCACAATGTACCAAGAGCAAATATTTATTCAAAATACATTTGAATTCTATAATATTAACTGGCAGTTTGGGGAAAACTGAATTCCTTCAATAACATACTTTTTTTAGCTCTTAATTTGGATGAATGCTAGCATTTGAATAGAATATAATGTATATGCACATACTGGAATGCAGTTTTCTTCATGCATCTTCAATAGTGAGTAGGGCTGTTACACTGTATCAAAATTGCATAAATAGCATCCTTCAGAAACCTTACCAGTCCCTCTTTCTATGCATTCTACTTCATCATCTTCAATATACAGTGAAGGCATCATGAAGATGACTTTCAGTTACAGTACACCACAAATTTTACATTTAACTTTCTGTGAAGACTAAAATTATAAACTAAATTTACTACTAAAAAACTGCACAAAAATTTGTCTCATAACACTTTTCTCCAAAGTACGTTTTTCAGTGCATAAGATATATATTTTACATGTGTAGAGATACAGATTTGCCGGTCACAGTAGCCGAGCGGTCCAAGGCATGTCTTTGCTTGCTTGGAAATCAGGATCACAGGTTCGAATCCCACTCAGGGCATGGATGTTTAGTTTGTGTGTGTGCGATTTTCTGTGCTTGTGTACAGGTAAAAGCCTTGCGACAAGCTGATCACCCACCCAAGGAGTCCTACCGAATGTGTAATCTCTAGAAAAACCGAAGTGAACGGAGAAGTTCATGGAGGTAGGCCTAGGTCCACTGGGGCTGTACTGCCAAGAATAAAAAAATTTAGATTTGGAGACATTCTGTGAGGAGTTATGGTTTCTTAGACAAAGACATTTTGAGTATTTTCAACTGAAACTTGATTAGATTTAGGATTTATAGCATTTCAAGTTGGGAGTATGCAACATTTACAGTTATTTCATCATGCCTCTTGGTATTCTGGGACAAAAGTCTCAGTTAAAAAAGAACTACTGTACATTAATTACGAAACTAAACTATTCCAAATTTATTCCAGTTACGGTTATAACCCTTACCTAATTCAAATTAGTTCACTGATATGCAGGAAAATACTCTCTATTGCTCTCGCTAAGAGTAATACTCTTCACTTGAATGTTCCGTGAAACTTGGAATTATAAAAAGAACGTGAACACGGAATCATTTACACGCTTCTATAAACAAAATGGTGGGCATATCTACGTTAAAATGACCTTCAGAACTGTTCCCGTCTCAGCACAACAGGATGTATTCCTTAGAGAATATCTACGTTAAATCGTCAAATTTTTTAATTGCAGGCGAAATTACTAATTGTGAACATAGAAACCTGGAAATAAAAACGACGCCGAAAAAAACACCAGGAAGCTGCTTATAGTTTTCTAAAAGGCGAATTTGCTGTATTGTTGAAAGTAAAATATCGATCTGCTTTCCGTTTACGAAACGTATCTACAAAATGAAATAAAGAACCTCATTTATCCAAACCCTTTTACATTCTGTAAACCACATACTTTCTGCTTAAACAATCGACAAATGAACAAAATATGGGTACTGTAACAAACCCTAAACATAGCCCAAAACATAAAATCTGAACGATCTCATTCCTTCAACGAATTATCACTAGACGATGTGAGGGAAGCCATCGCTCATTAATAAATAACACATTCAGAGGTAACACAACTATTTTCGTGTCTTGATAATATTTTTAGTTTTCCTAGCATTTCTATGTCTTATTATTGGAACACAAATTTAAATTACATACTATGGCCACTCACACCCTATGATAAAAAAAAGGAGTATTTTCTTACCTCAGAATCATGACACTTATCTCTTCAGGAAGTTTTCCAACAATGTCGAACATATCTCCTTCCAATAGAGAGTTCAATCCAAACGCAAATGCCAGAGAATAAAATGGCTCCATGTCAGTATTACCAGCAAAGCGGAACACAAGAAGCACAAGAAACAGAAACCCTTTGCACAATTAAGACTTTGACTGCAACCGTCTCACAGGACTTCCAGACCTAAAGTAGGACTCAATTTTTCAAAATAACCACTTTTATACCTTCGGGCCAAGTTAAGGAGGAACCAATCAGGACGAGTTTCTTAACAGAAGCTAGAACATGTCCGCCAATAAAACCTCTTCTCTCATAGAACTTGTCCACCAATAAGAAATCGCCTTTCAAAACACATCTGGGTAGCCAATCATATGCCACATAGGACTTCAGAAATAACGGTTCGAGTAGGTATTAATAATATGCTTGAGAGCTGTGATTAAAATTGTCAAACGCATAAATTATACAACGAAATTTAGAAGAAAAGAATTTTAGTGGTCATTAACAACCGAGCTGGTGCGCCTGTGGTTTTATGTGAGCGGACGCATGGGGCACTCAATGCATTCGTTGCATTATAACCAGAAGAATCGTACATTAAGTGTTTTCATTAGAGAAGGCCACTCTGTACATAATTAAACCTTTTATATGTGTTGTAATACATAAACATTTAAAATTCAATGCCTAAACCAAGATGAAACCCCTCAAGCAGAGCTATCATTATAACGTTTGTAGCAATTTTTTTTTTCTTTTAATATTTCTTGCAGACATAGCTGGAGAATATTCTCACTGTGGGGGGCCAAAATTCACATCCATTCTAACGCCAACATACAGCCCATGAACCATGCTTCTTGGAAGTTCTTTTTGTCTTTTGGAGTTCACGAACTCAATACATTAGTTTCAGTGTAACTTCAAAAACTTTTCTTTGATTTAGTTGAAGATAGCTTTTGTTTGCAAGGAAGGCAGTTCATTTATACCTCCAACAGTTATCAATAGAAGGAAAAGCAGCAGTGATAATCATATCTTCTTGGGATATAACACTGTGTAGTCCATTGAAAGTCATCTGATGTTTTGGAGGGCCATGTTGCCTCCAGCTTCAGGGTAGAAGAATAAGCCAAGCAAGAAACCAGCATGAAGAAGACAGCACGCAGAGCATGATGGTGGGAGCATGTTTCTCCAGAATGTGGCGTTTTATACCAGAAGATAGGAATCGTCTTAACCACAGCAGTAAGGACCTCAAATCCTACATATTATTGGTGATGACCTTGTTACAGGAGCTGTTGAGTATCTGCAACACGTCTTGTCTGCTATGCCTCTGGTCATGCTGTAGTCCAAAATTATGTTCAGATCTTCATGCTTTCCTTATCACAGAGTTTTGCTTCAACAAGGTAATACAGACTTTCTTCTCTTGACATATGAAAATAAGATACAACCCAAAAATCCAGACTGAGGATCTAAGTGCTCTGTTTTCCATGACAGATATTCTGGAAGGATCTCTCCTCATAATCCCTTAGACATGTAGTTTTATTTCTAGGACATATTTAGGAAGTGCTAAACTACTATACACATTGTTGGTACCAAAATTTCTGTTTGAACCATCAGTGTGACTAAACAGTCTCATGATGCCTGCTGGTGAACTGGCTACTAGGTATTGCCCCTTTGTTTAATATCATACACTTTCAAGTTGTTTATAAAGAATAACATGGCATCAGAGGGCTATGATTTTTAGTTAATACTTAACAGGTGTGTTGGGTTTATATGCGATGAAAATGCAATAGTCACAAAACAGTCCTAGTATGAAACTGTGAAGAACCCACCCACTCAGTAGATGTTTTACAACTTGCTACAAATTAGTCCATATGGCCACAAAGGCAACAAGCATGTTACGACTTCGAGTTTCATCAGTATTCTAAAGTTCAAGAACGTTTCTGTGATTCTCTTGCTTCTTCCACAGAAGACAAGCAAATCCCAAGCAAAGATCTCATTTCTTGTAGTTCCTTTTGTATCTCTGTGCCCTTTACTGTGAATGTGCATATGCTTACACTTCACAGTCTCCTCCAGCTAGTTCATTTCAAATACAAAATGCATTTATTTCGTTGGCAATTCCTTTTTCAACTTCTGCTGATAAAGTTCTCATTCTTCCACAATACTGTATTGTAGCATTCTGTTGCACTGTTCCATATTATAAATCTTATTTTAAGAGTCTATTAACTTAAAAATGTTTAAGTTTTAAATTTAAAATTTACACGTCACATTTATGGCCATCATCAGGTGTTAGAATATATCTAACAGGGAAACTGCTGGTTTCTGTGTTGCTGCTATTACATGTGTGAAATTTCATTAGAATTTTGTTAATGTGAAGTTCTTTTTGTGTCATGTGGTTATTTACTTGTGAACTCACCGTAGTTAGAATGTCGTGCTCCTTCCTGCCGAGTGCTCTGCTGCATGTCTTGTTCTTGAATGCTTCTCTGAGTTGGACTGGTCCTCCTCTTACAATCTGTTATTTAATTCTTGTATCACTCTGAATATAGGGTTGTGGGTGTCGGTGTGTCATTCATTTGCAGTCCATCCTCACTCACCTTATATATATATTTGTGTGTGTGATACTTCTCCAGTGTGTTTAGGTGCTTTCCTTTCTTCTTCTTCTCCATTTTCAAAACTTTCATATGTCAGCCATACTCCCATATGCATGTCTCATATTCAACATTCTTTCACATTCTCCTCAGATTTGTAATCAAGATCACTGTGGATAATGATATCACTTTGCTGAAAATGTGTGCCACTCTCAGTGCATCCCTCAATCTTGTCATCAGTACCTGGTATACACAAAATGTCATCTGTGGTAAAGTGCCTAAATCCTGCCATTAATTGGTAGTTCAATCAGCTAATACATAAAACATAAGTCAAATTTTATTTATATTACTAAGCATGCAGTGTGTGGAATGCACCAACAATGACTATCCTGTCACTTATTAGCTGTGTTTATGATATATATGTGACATACATCAAAACATTGTGATGTGGTGGGTATTGTTCCAAATGTCCTATCTGTAGATAGCAAGCACTATCAGAAGGTATTTTTCTCCGAGTTTCATTCTGAACCCCATCTTCATTACATTACATTGCATTGCATTCCATGGATCCAAAATTAGTCAAAATGACTGTAGGATGTGGAATACATGTATGTCATATAAATACAAAAAATATGTACAGTCCCAATGGAGTTCTCACACAAAAGAGACCAAGAATACACAGTGACTACACACAAGGCTATTTAAAGATACATAAGTTATTTTCTAGACAATAGGTATTCATCAACAGAGTAGAATGAATGTGTATTTAAGTATCGTTTCAGTGCTATTTTAATTCATGCCTTTTCATTCATAAGACCTTTGAGATCAGATGGCAGGTTATTAAAAATGTTGATCCCAGTATAATATGCACTTTTATGAAAGCATGAGAGGTTAGCAATTGGTTTATGAAGACAGTGTTTGTGTCTTGTGTTAACACTGTGTACATTCGCATTCATCATTTGTTATTGCTGTTTCTGGGTATTTAAATTGTGTGACATTTTCAAATGCAGCCCAGACAGATACCCATAACCTGGACTAACAGAATATTAGCTTAAAACTATGTAATGTTACAAACATGAAATAACTACAAGTCAAATGAAAACATGATGTTTTAGTATTATGCAAGAGATAAGTAAAACTAAAACGTGTTTTTTTAGGTTATTTAGGTTATTTTAATGACATTGTCAGTGTTGAGACTATATAGCATCAGCACAAACCTGCTAAAAATGTGTAGGCATACACACATTAATTTTGAAATCATACAAATAGTAGGCTGGGTATGTTGTAGAGTTAATCTGGTTGTCTCTCTCACTGTCTGTTACAAAATCATCCTTTCTTTCTTGAAGCCAGATTTACAAAATCAATGGAATTTTATACAAGATTTAAATTTGTTTGGGTAAAACCCAGTTCTTATAAAATCATCCACCCAAATTTTTCATAGATAACAAATGATGAAGAATATAAGCGTCAATTTATAATACTTTTGCTGTTTATGATACCATATTCCAAATTTTACACAAATTCTCTTCAATTTCTTGTAGTCTGCCTGTTACATATCCTGTGTTGAGATCTGCTATAACCAAAACTAACCTATGAATGCAGGAATATGGAAAGGGAAAAAAATTGTGAAATTTGAAATGTTCAATATAAAAAAAAACAGTGAAATATAATGCAGCATACATAAATTGATAACATGAAAGTTACAGAAATTGTACATATTTTAACTTATTTCCATGTAAATACAGTTCTTTCACATTACAGTATATAGGACAGAAAATTCTGTATCCTATTATTTGACTATACAAATCACAGAATTACTATTTGTTCCGCTATTCAGAATATTTGCCATTAGCTACTATAGTTTCAATTGAAAACCCTGTAAATATAATGAAATAAAGGCTGAGCATCAAAGACTTATACCAGTATTCATTCAGCACCATCTAGTGTACAAGTGAAGTTAGTACTGTATTTCAAGAAACTCAGTCTTGCAGTATGTATTTCTTAAGAGTATTCTTAAAACAGATTTCCAAATGCTTTGTTAACAAACTAGCAGGGTTCATTCTTGAAACATTACAGAATATTTTTGCAATTATAAGAACTGTTATCACTTGGAGCTTGCTAAGGAAAGTTAACGTACTTTACTAATTTGTATTAATGAAAATAATAACAACTGACAATTCAAATACCAGCTGAGAATAAATATTTCCTCTACATACATTATCTGTTGTAATGGTATGTATTCAGATTATATCTCAATAATCCCTATTTACGTGTTGAATCTGGCAAAACTGTTCATGTAGTCACTCATATACACCAGGTACTTGGCAGGTACATGTAATGAATATGTAGCGGTCACTAGCTCCATCTTCCACTATGATTTCACACAGACTGTTCAGAAAGTGGGATGAAAAATGCAGATGGCATAACTCAGAAATATAACAAATGACCATTAATAGTTACTTCCAGTGGATTATAGTGGTAATTCAATTAGCAAATATGCTCAAGTAAAAATTGTACTAAACCTAATTTCAGCTTCAGTCAACACAGTTTCATAAAAAAGATGCCAGTGCTCATACACTGACCTTGGCGTCACAGATATTCATTTCTACCACATTACTGTACCATTATT